GCAAAGCACGGATCTGGGTTCCAGCAGGGATACTGGAGATCAGAGGCGACACATAGGAGCAGCAAGGAGTGAGGGAGTTGTTATTGCCCCTCTGCTGGCTTCTGTAAGCCGTATAAGCCCAACATCTTCTCAGCTGGTCAAACTATGCTGCCTTATGAAAGCAGAAGGAAAGGGAACTACAGCAGTGTCTGCAGTGCACAGGTAACTCCATGGTGGAATGATATTTCCTGCAAGGTACTGGGTGGGTATCATGGCCTCCCCATGGATGTGGCCTGTTATCATCAGCATGGTGCCACTGTTCAAGATATCCTTGACTGAGATTAAATTCATCATTTCAAATAACTGCTATTGTTATTCCACACCATCTTCATTCATCTCTTTTGCTTCTTCCTCAGTCAGTAAAGGAGAACCCCAAATCTCCGATTCCTTGGTTGTTTTTCACATTAGAGTTGTAGGTAGTTTGTTCCCAGGTTTTCCCAGGCAGCTTTGGGGAGGGTCAGAGGACTGGGAAAAGTGGTGTGCAATTGGGTTACCAGGAGAATAAAACCAGGACAGCTGGGCAAAGACAAACCAGTCAGGCAGAGGGTTAAACCAGTAGCTTTTCTTACTGAATTTTATCCAGTCTGTGGGGAAGAGGCAGGGGGATCTCTCCCCTGCTCTCCAGAGCCGGGTCCCAGCTGCAGGAGGTCAGGGACAGCAAAGGCTCCTCAGCCAAGCAGTTGCTCTATTTCTAACTTCCAAGAATCGAGCCTGGGATTTCAGAAGCAGAAACAAACAGAAAAGGGGGGGTCAGAGGTAGGGAAAAGGTAGAAAAAGGAAGAAGGAGAGACCTCCTTGATGTCTGTTATTTGTTGTTACAGAGAGATGAGTCGGAAGCCACTGCGAGTGCCCCTGCTCCCGCCCTGCCTTGCGGGATGCTCGGCGCTTGGCTGATGTCACAGCACACACACGCAGACACACACCCACACGCACCCGTGTTGGCGTGATGATGGGAAGGAGGCTTTCAGAAGCCAACAAGATGAACAATTATGCCTTCTGTGCAAAGCAACAAGACCCACTTCTCCACTCCCCAGTCATGTCCCGGCAATCTAATAAAAAGGGAGATTAGCCCCTCTTTCCTCTCTTACATCTCCTTAATGCTGTCATTTTATTCACACTTTGCAAAGCAAATAAACCAGCAAATTGCTTGCTTTAATGAGCTGAAATTAAACTCAGGCTGCTGATAAAATGCCTTTTCTCCTTTCTGTTTTTGGGAAGGACTCATCTGATAGGCAACGTACAGGAAAGAAGCGAAAATACACAGCAGGAGCCTTATTGAACGTGTTTGAGTCATTTACCATTGCTCTTCTTCATCCCTGACACCTCCAATTAGATGAGGTAGGCACATGGGTGATGAGGAGGCTAGGGGATCAGCTTGGCAAGGTCCATGGAGGGTCTGTCTCTTCTCTTTGCTCATGGGATGGTCCCATTCCACTAGCTAATGCTCTCTGATATGGGCTGCAGCCCACAGCCTCCCCAGTGAGGAGTGACAAGAAACCTTCCTCTGCAAGAAAAATGCTGCTTTGTCTCTTCAGAGCAATCCCAAACACAAACTTGCCCAGAGAGGATGGTTGGGTCAAAATGGGAGTTAGAGGAGACAGAGTAAGTGCTTGCTAAAGAGACTATGCCAAGATGCATCACTCCCTGCTGCCTGAGCTGCCTCAGTT